GGGTGCACATAGAAAGTCCTCCATGTATATATCAGTTTTCAAAAAGCCCTCTCGATTTCACTTTGTCTCAATTTTAACCTTGAATTATTAAAAACATTACAATTGACGCCTTATGTCCAATCCTCGGATTGAAATGGATAGAAAACCCACACAAATGTCACGCCATACTTAGCAATTTCATCAGACCTTCATCTTCATCCTTCTATTCTCTCTCGCTCTCTCTACATTTATATTTTCATCCCTGTGTCATAGAAGGAAATTAAGATAGAAAAAGATGACAAGAAAGAGAATAGATGACAAAGAGAAAGAGGTCTTGATGGAAATTTCTAAAATACATCCATCAATCTCGGGTGACAAATCACAAGTGATTTTTTACCATTCACTTTTGCTTGGATTTGAATAGAAATTGTCAATTAGAATATTTATTCAATGTTGAAATTAAGATAAAGTAAAATTAAGGGACATTTTTGCAATTGAAGATATAATTGGATTTATGTAATAGTATTAAACAAAAGTAGAAACAAACAATAACCAAACAAATTTGTCACCATCTTAATCAATAATTTCTTAATGGATCCAGGTCATTGATTACTGAATAATAGGTTCTATGTTTGACTTTAGTGTGGCTGAATAAAAGTTTAAGGGTTAATTTTACTTTTCGAAAGATATTTTGATTTTTAATTTATATTTTTAAATATTAAAAATTTTAATTTATATTTTTAATGTTTTGAATTTATATTAAGGTGGACTTGACCTAGACTACTATTTATTTATTTTTTGTTATAAATTAAAATACATGAGTTTCAAGTAATTGAGAAAATTACTACATGTTTTGAGACGTAAAATGAGATTAGCCCAAAGTTTAATAATAATTTTCTTTCTCTATATAAAAAAGTATTTATATTAGTATTACAAATTCATTGTATACACAAAAATATTTAAAAAAATGTATTTTATGCTCTTAAAAATTAAATTTTTTACATTATACTTTTAATTAAATTAAAATGTTATAATGTGATCATACTGTTAACTTTCGCTTCTCATTCTATTAAAAATCATCACCCTATTGACGTTAATAAAATGATTAATGAAAATTAATGATAAGGTCACATTATAACATTTTTAATATAATGAACTCGTTTGGTAAGCATATTATTAGAAAATTAAATATTAAATACTATTAATTTTTATTTAATCAATTATAATACTTTGTTTGGTAAGTAAAATTTGATACTATATTAATTTAAAAAATATATATTAATCGTATATTTTTTGTACGATAGAACTGTATTATAGAAATATTTTAATACCACAAAGAGTGATGATATTATAATCCAACTCATATACATTATTCAATGCATTTACTATTATAATCTCTCAACTGATAAAATTAAACTATCATTAATATAAAAAATACTGATTGAAGGTATTTTTGTTAATTTAACATTAATACGATAAATAATTCTCTAACTAAATAATTGATTGAATTAAATAATTGTTATTCAACATTTATATTGTGTGTTATCAAATATTAGATAATATTACGTATTAATTTTGTCTTTTGTCTTTCTGTATCGTATTAGACTGAATTATTTTATTTAATCCATTAATTTTTAATACAACAACTAAACGAGCTCTAACCGTAAAATATGAGAAAATTTAATATTTAAAACGATAAATAAAAATAAAAATAAAAATAAAAATATTTAAAATTTTTCGGTTGCAAAATACAATTAAAGTGAATGAGTGAGCGGGAAAAAGTGAAGAGAACACCGATGGGACATCAAGCTCTCTAGCTCGCTCTCTCTCTCTCTCTCCTTAAATCCCACTCAAACCACCACCACCATCATCAGCGGTGGCCAACCCTTTTCTTGGCCTATTTTTTTTCGCCTTGAACTTGAAGGTAGACCTTCCACCATGGGGTGCACGGCGTCGAAGCTGGACAACGACGACACTGTACGGCGGTGCAAGGAGCGTGCCCGCTTCATGAAGGAAGCCGTCTACGCCCGCAACCACCTTGCCGCTGCTCACTCAGACTACTGCCGCTCGTTACGAGTAATCGGTTCTGCCCTCTCCGCTTTCGCCGCCGGCGAACCCCTCGCTGTCTCTGACAATACCCCCGCCATTCTCCTCCATAATCCCTCCCTCCCTCGCTCTCGCCCCCGCACCACCCACATCCCCTCCACCAATTCCGCTCGTCCACGTGTCCCCTCTCCCTCCCCCTCCCCCTCTCTCCACGAGCCACAACCACCATCCTTCTCTCCCTCTCCATCCCCAACCATTGCCAGCTCCAAACCCCCTCATATCCTTGCCGCCTCCAGCCTCCCGTCTCGCCACCACCGTAACCACCGCAAGAAACCCATCAAAGTCCCTCACATTCTCTCCGAATCAAGCGTCTTCGGTTCCTCTCCCCAAAGCGACCACAACTCCAATTTCAACCACCACAGTAAACAAAAAGATTGCACATACGATGATGATTCAAACTATTCTTCAACTCCATCACAAGCCTCCTCCGTCTGGAATTGGGAAAATTTCTACCCTCCTTCCCCTCCAGATTCCGAATTCTTTCAACAGAATCGCAAGAACAAAGATAACAATGACGACGATACCTCCTCTGTATTTTCATCTTCAACCTATTCGACCCTTCACAAAAGCAACAATCTCCAAGATCAAGATCGAACCCGTGACAATCTTCGCCGTCACCACCACCTTGACTCCGACTCTGATTCTGAAGAGAGAGAAAGAGAAAGAGCGACAGAAAGGGAGGAGGTCCATTGTAGCGAATGGGGCGACCATTACAGCACAACAACAAGCTCTTCCGATGAAGAAGAAGAAGAATCAAGATCTGAGATAGGATCGATGAGGTCAAATTTAGGATCGTCGGTACACAATTATAAGCCAAAAGAAACTCCGGTGACGGGGGCGGTGAATCCGAAATCGCCGGACGATGCTGGGTCATCGGTGAGTTGGAATGCTGGGAAAAGTGAGTTCTCATCGTCGTCCGATAAGAAGATAGTGGTGAGGCACAAGGATTTGGCTGAGATTGTTGACGCCATTAAGGAGTTCTTTGATAAGGCTGCATCCGCCGGCGAACAGATCTCCGAGATGCTCGAGACTGGCCGTGCTCAGCTCGATCGAAGTTTCACACAGTTGAAGAGTTAGTCCCATTTTTTAATATCCATGATTTTTTTATTTTTTTAATTTAATGTATTATTAGTGTTAAATATTAATATAATTCATTTAATATAAGTATTTATTAACTGTATAAATTTTAAACTCGTTCGTCATCGTGTTGGTATTGATGTGTTAGTTTTTGAGATGGTTTGAAAAATACATTTTTTTAATTTTTTAAAATACTTATGAAACGTTTTTTATTTTATTTTTTATGTGATCGAAATTATACATCAAAATAAAAATTTTAATCCTTGCCGTCAATTCATTTTTCAATAAAAAAATTATATAAGATTTTGAATGATTTTGGATTTGTAGTGGGAATTTGTTTTTGATGTTGTGGGGGTTGGTTGCAGAGACTGTGTATCATTCAAGTGGAGTGTTGAGTAACTTGAGCTCGAGCTGGACGTCCAAGCCGCCATTAGCGGTTAAGTACCGGTTCGAACCGGGTTCAATGGATGAGACGGGCGGTCCCAAGAGTCTGTGCTCTACTTTGGAACGGCTCTTGGCTTGGGAGAAAAAGCTCTACCAGGAAGTCAAGGTAGTGTTTTATAATCTCTCTTGATTTAGAGATATTTATTCCATTTATTGTGATTACCATCTTAACTTAGTTTCTCTAGTAAAAGATTAGTGAACATGACGACAATGGCCAAGTCCACCACAATTTCACTAGTCAAAAAAAATCAACCCTTTTTGTTGATAGCAAAACCCAACTCATATTGAATTCACTCTAATCCAACGGTGTCATAATCAGTGGATTTGGTCAGAACATTTAATTGTAAATTTGTTTCAAGTAGCGTTACTCGTATTGGATTAGTGTTGTGCCATTACTTTGCTTGTGCGAATGCCTTTCAATGTTGTTGTAGGATGAAGAAATTGCACTTGATAGCTGTTAGCCCTGGTCTGACTAGGACAACCTAGATAACATTGGAACATGCTGGTGGGTTTGCCTGCGCAGCCCACCTAATTCAGATTAATGGATTTGAGATATCTACGCTCAACTAGAAAATATATGCTCTTTGCAATGAACCTTTTTTTTTCAAGTAAATGTGTATGGAAGCCATTATATTAATCATGGCCACGGGGGTGCTGGTGGGTCTGTTTTGACATGCTAAGACAACTTGGCCGTCTAGTAATCTTCTCTTACAGTTGCCATCGTATGTGTAGTATCTTCTTCCTACACAGGTGAATTGTTTTCTGGACTAATTGGGGAATAGTCGATTTTGATCATCTGGCTTGTTCTATCTCCTTAATTTTTTTAACCCTGATCAGCCTAGTTTCTTAATGTTGAATGTCGATAGATAATGATCCACACAGCCTGAATGAAGATGCAATGCAAAAGCTGTCTTATCTGTGCAAATTTTTTTTCCTCTGCTTGCTAGTGAGTACTGCTAGATTTATTGCTTGTCATGGTCTTCTTTCAAGCTAAGTGCAAATTTAGTTGAATTGGAAGAGTTCAATTCTATCTGAACTATTCATTTTCAAATGATATCCATATTGTTCACAACTATTCATTTTTGATTTAATTTTTTTTTTATAATTTAATTCATGACAATTTTCGCATTGAACTCCACAAATTCCTGTATTTTTGAGTTGCATCAAGATCATTAATACTTTCTCTTATAGTTAAATCAATACCATTCTTGCTTGCTAGTTCTTATACTTTTTTTTTTGGTCACTACCATTCGTGCTTCCTATTTCTAATATTGGAATCCTCGTTTTCACTACTATTTCTACTTTTACTTTGGTCCTAGAAGAAACAGGAAACAACAATGAATTGAAATGAGTTTGTGATGCCACATTTAAATTGCATTGAAAGTGATGAGCATTAATGTTTGATATTAATTTATAATGAATATAGGCTCAAGAAGGGGCGAAAATTGAACATGAAAGGAAGTTGTCGGCACTACAGAGTCAGGAGTACAAGGGAAATGAGGATGCAAAGCTGGATAAGACAAAGGCATCAATAAAGAGGCTGCAGTCCCTTATTCTGGTCACATCTCAGGCTGTATCTACCACCTCCTCTGCTATTACCGGTCTTAGAGACACCGAACTTGTCCCTCAGCTTGTTGAACTTTGCCACGGGTAAATAACTTCTTTTCTGATTTAGCTGGTATTGGAGAATCACTTGTGTGCGCATAGGATTATCAAGTCAACTAAGTTTAAAATAATTGGTACGTGGACATGCCAAATAAGTAGGTATTTACAGCAGATTTGATACTTTGTTTACCCCACATGATATGGTTTTTTTTTCAATTTCAAGATGGTAGGCATGCATGCATTCACCTGGGGATGATAATTTTGTGGCCTAAAACAAGCATCTGAAATATATAACCAACTTGCCAAAAGCCTGTGGTTTTCCATTTCCAGCAGCTCTGGATTTGAAATCTGAACTCAGGAACCTTGCTGATATAGAAACTCTTCAAACAAAACAAATTGGGGAAATGGAAAGCTTCTTGTGTTTTTTTTTTTCATAAACATTAATATGTAAGAGAACAAACCAAAATAAGTTAACTTTGAAGCCATACTTTTTCTGTCCAAAACTAAAACTCCAATTGAATTCAATGCCATATTCTGATGCTTGTTCTTTATGATTTAAGACGTGCCACTAAGGAAGGTAGTGTGCTGTCATTTTGAAATTTGGCTTGTGTGCCCACTGTATTGTGGAGGAAGATGGTTCAGAATTCCGGAGTTTTTTTCTTGTCCATGATTGGTGGTATCAGTCAGAGTGATCAGAATATGTTGTGATTAACTCTCGATCTCGATCAATGAACATGGTAGTTCGGATGCTTTATATTCCCTCATGTAAAACGTTCACTTGCTTGTCCAAGTTGAAGGTGATAAATTCTGAAGATTTTACTCTGCATTTGCCTTGCAACTTGGTTAACCATCAATAATCACTGAAGCCTTTTGTCCTGGAGTATGGCCAATTGCTGGCACCCCTTTCAGAACAGGCTGGGCCCAAAACTGATGGCACTTTGATTTCAAGATGGTTTTGTTGACTATCTTACCTTTGATGATGGAGGGTTAGGTATATTGGCTCTAGCTGTGATATGGCCCACCTTTGTGCTCTCCAGGTTAATTTTACTGTGGGGTAGGTAGACTTAAGTCAAGAACAAAATCATCACCATTGTGATATTCATAACAAATAAATAGGGCGCCTTCAATGGATTACTGACTAAATTCCGAGTTACATGGCATGATTGAGGGATGACTAGCAAGTATCACAATGAATTCTTATGTTGTCCTAACTAAGGTCACTGTGGAGTATCGGTCTTGTACTTTCAACACCTGTTTGCTTCATTTACATTCTNAGAACAAAATCATCACCATTGTGATATTCATAACAAATAAATAGGGCGCCTTCAATGGATTACTGACTAAATTCCGAGTTAAATGGCATGATTGAGGGATGACTAGCAAGTATCACAATGAATTCTTATGTTGTCCTAACTAAGTTCACTGTGGAGTATCGGTCTTGTACTTTCAACACCTGTTTGCTTCATTTACATTCTAGTATTCTAGCTGATTCAACTGGCTTTTAGAAGTCACAGCAGAATTGTTAAAATTTTCTTGCAAGGGACACAATGACTCATCANCTAGTATTCTAGCTGATTCAACTGGCTTTTAGAAGTCACAGCAGAATTGTTAAAATTTTCTTGCAAGGGACACAATGACTCATCATATTTCTCTGGATTAATAAATTTATGAGTCTCTGTTAGAAAGCTCAGAAATGATATATGACTAGAGATTGATTATATTTGCCAAAAATAAAGTGTGAGGCCACACCAGGCCCGGTGTTCATTGCTATACCGTCAAAGCTATTGGACATCAATGGTATCGGACTTTTGAGTTATGAGTATTCGGACTATAACTGTTCTGATGAACAGTCACTCACTTTGGGTCAGTCATGTTTATTAGAAGTGGACAATAGATCAAATAGCACTTCCCCCCCCCCATTCGCGTCAGTTCTCGTGTTATATCTTATGTGATATAGTGTGCATTTGGTTGAAAATAAGTCAAATTTATGTTGGTGATATCGTGATTACAGGTCCATGTACATGTGGAGGTCGATGAACCAGTTCCACGAAGTCCAGAATGACATTGTGCAACAAGTGCGGGGCCTTATCAACCGATCAGCCAAGGGTGAATCAACCACAGACCTACACCGGCAGGCCACACGTGACCTTGAGTCAGCTGTTTCTGCCTGGCACTCAAGTTTTTGCCACCTAGTAAAGTTCCAAAGGGACTTCATCCGCTCCCTCCATGGCTGGTTTAAGCTCACTCTCCATCCTGTTAACATTGAACGAACTAATGGAGGCACTACTACGGAACCATCTGAGGCTTTTGTATTCTGCGATGAGTGGAAGCTCACCCTTGACCGTCTACCTGACACAGTTGCATCTGAAGCCATCAAAAGCTTCATCAACGTTGTCCAATCAACATATTTGAAACAAACAGAGGAGCTCAAAATCCAAAAACGAACTGAATCTGCATCGAAAGAGCTCGAGAAAAAAGCTTCAGCTCTTCGAAACATAGAAAAGAAGTATTATCACTCCTACTCCATGGTTGGCATTGGGCTTCCTGATAGCGGGCATGATAATGGGCATGTGTTGGATGCAAGGGACCCTCTCGCCGAGAAGAAATCTGAGCTTGCAGCTTGCCAAAAGCGGGTGGAAGACGAGATGGTAAGGCACTCCAGGGCGGTAGAGCTGACGAGATCAATGACACTAAATAACATCCAGACGGGGTTGCCAGGAGTATTCCAGGCTATGACCAGTTTTTCTGCCTTGATCATGGAGGCGCTCGAGGTAGTGTGCAATCGTTCCTATGCCATCAAGTAGATATATATAACATAAAACAGTGCTGGAATTTTGTTTGTGTGGTCTCTCTCTCTCTCCCCTTTCTTTTTCTTGTTCTTTACATTTTCCATTTACCTTTTTTGTGTGTAGATATATGAAAATTTTCCAGTTTTTGTCTTCCGTTTTGTTGAAGGAGGCGAAATGTGTACAGAAAATTGCTTGCATTGTTTTTATCAGAGGCTGCTTTATCTAGCGGTGCACCTCGGGCGGGTTGGGTGGANTGAAGGAGGCGAAATGTGTACAGAAAATTGCTTGCATTGTTTTTATCAGAGGCTGCTTTATCTAGCGGTGCACCTCGGGCGGGTTGGGTGGATCGAGAGGTCAAACATTATCCCAATTTTAAATTTATAATTTTCAATTCTAACTTTAATTTTAATCTGAGGTACTCAATCTGAACATTGCTCGAGTTTAATTCGGGCAAGTTCGGATTGAATTCGGGCTGATTTCNCTGAGGTACTCAATCTGAACATTGCTCGAGTTTAATTCGGGCAAGTTCGGATTGAATTCGGGCTGATTTCAGGTTAAAAATCGAGTTAGATTTGGATTACTTAATTTGGGTTGATTTTTTTAAGTATAAATTTGATTTTTTTTCAAGTGATTTGAGATGAAGGATGAGACGTTGGTGAAAAGAGAAAGAGGTTGAGAGTCTGAGATTAGATGAGATACGAGTGAGAGGGATCTGAGAGTGATAGAAGCACAGGGGTAAAGACTTTAAGTGAAGTAAAAGTCTGAACTTTAAGAGTGAAAATAAATATTAACTTTAGTTAAATTTATTTATATATTTATGAATATTCAAGTTTAACTCGATTTTAATATTCGAGTTAAACCTTACAATTTAAGACTTGTTCGAATTTAATTTGGGTTAAAATTTTTTTGTCTAGACCTAACTTAAGTATTAAAAATTTGGAAAATTGGAAGGAGGTGCACCAAATTAGATTTAATTATAAAAAAAATACACAAAAAAATGTTGGGTAATTAAGTTTTTAATTTTGATATTTATTTATATCTAAGTACATTATTTGAATTTTACTGATTTTTTTTTGTGATATTTTTATCCTCCATTGATTCATGTGTATTTTCTTTAAAAAGTGGTGTATTAAACATCTCTTAATTTTATGAGAGAACTTTAATATTTTATATTTGTATGTCCTCTCTTAATTCATGCGTTTTTTTTTTTGAATAGTGGTTTTATTTTCAAATTATATTAATATTTAAATAATATAACTAATCATTTACACAAACTATTATACTATTACATTTTGTCAAACATATATTTTCATATAATTTCATTCAAAACAGTTCATCGCCGTTTTGAATTTGTTTCCACATGTACAAAATTACTTAAACACTGTTTTTATTATAGTGTATTTGTTACATTATTATGGAGTTTGAATAGTAATAAATTTTGAAATTCAAACAAGTGATATATTCTAAAATAAACGAAATATTAAAATTCTCTTATAAAATTAGTAGTAATAAATATTTAATGCATAAATATAATTTGACAATAAAATCACTTTCCAAAAAAAAAAATATGCATGAATCAAGGTGCATTAAAAAATTTGAATTAAATGACCCTAAATTTCAGCGCTTAATAAATGTCTTGTTAAAGTTTTCAGGAAGAAAATTTTACAAAATAGGCATTTTTGTCTTTGTATCTCAGTTGTATATTTTTTTTCAAAACACTTTGTTTTATGTACTTTTTTACAATTATGTCTAATTTGATGTATTAGCTTCCTAAAGACCCTTAAAAATTTTAATCTAAGTCTTATTTTTCTGGGTTGGACTCGGGTTGAATTCAAGTTCGCCCACTCAAGTTGCACCCCCTAACTTTTTCATCATTTTCCTCTATGCAATTTCCTTTGCATATTTCTAATGTGTGATTTTATTCTTCTCTCTATCTCTCTCACACATGCACGCATGTACATACAAATAATATATGTATATGAAAGCAGATAAATTCATTAGGGTTAATCTCATTTTGCACTCCGAAAGATCGTTCGAATCTCAATTTACACCCCCAAAGATTAAAAATCTCAATTTACACCCTCAAAGATAGAAAATTGTATCAATGTACACCCCCAAAGATCAAAAATCTCAATTTGCACTCTCAAATATAGAAATTTGTATTAATGTGCACCTAAAATTAAATTGATAAATTATACCTAGATCCCCTCATGTTTGTCATTTAATCATTTGAACCCCTTCACATTTAGAATATTACCCCTACATCTCATGACGTTTGTACATGTGTAAACATAACCACTTTTCGTTGATATCTATTAATATAATCGTTAAAAAATATGATTTTATCCTAATAAAAAATTATAATTTCATATTACCCTTTATTTTGTGGATTCGATATACTCTAAAGTTAAAAATCAAGTTTACCATTTGAATGTCTAATAGAATGTAGATATTTATAAAAAGGGAAATATGAAAAACATTATGTAAATATCTACATTTTATTAGACATTCAAATGGTAAGCTTGATTTTGAACTTTAGAGTATATTGGACCCATAAAATAAGGGTAATATGAAATTATAATTTTTTATTAGGATAAAATTATATTTTTTAACGGTTATATTAA